CATTAATAGAGACTGTCCAGAACTACCCCGACTTCAGGTTTAAATCCGGAAGGGGTTTCAGAGGCTTGTGCAGGTAAACTGGCGCAAAGAAAATTTCCTCTCCAGATGGAAAATATGTATCTTGGCGACTAGTTTCTAGAATCCGCTGGAATTTTTCATACCCCTACCGGTCTTAGAAATGTTGAGGAAAAACGGTCAAATTTGTCCGGAATATGACACTTTGACGGTATTAGAAATTCCCAGAGGTCTCCGTCCTTCGTTTTTGTGTACTAAAACAGATGTTAAAGGTGGAAGTTTTCATTCGTCTATGATGTTTCAAAGCTAAACTCGACACGTGAAATCTACAGAGTTCTTTGGGAAATCCCAAGGAACTTTGGCAATACTTTTCACGAGTGTTCCTCCGTGAAATCCCATGAGTTTTTCTCACAGTGTACCGGGGGCGGCGCGCCCCGGGGCGTAGACTGGGGTCTGGCAGCATAACGGAGCGTGGATAGCTGCGGTCTCCCGCCCCGGATCCACGCTACGCCACGCCACCAGACCCCAGTCCGCGCCCCGGGGCGCGCCGCCCCCCGTAGACTATTATTAACTGGATATAACATAGGGGACTGACTACAAATCAGTATCCCATGGGCAAAGCGGGCGAGATTTACCGTGGGACCTTGCAGAACAGGATAGACACTCATAGGAGCGCCGTGTGAATTTCGGACTGAGATTACAAGGGAGTTTACAGTATGGTCGCCCGCTTTACCGCCACGAAAAATTGCCACTACTGCTGAACTGCATTGCTGTGAACAACTTTCGTACCTTGTATTGCAAAGCATTTCTTAGGTAGTATATGAAGGTGCTGACAAAAAATCGGTTTGCATATTTGGAACCTTTTGGTTTGTAAACTATACGGTTCTTAGTTTTCCGGAAAAATAAAATAGGATTTCTTCCGATTTTTTTTCGAAAGAAAATAGAAAAATAGAAAAAAAGAAAGGTTATTTTGTGGAAACAAGCTTTGGATAAGGCATGGGTTTAAGGGTACGCGGGAGACAAATCGTCGCATAGAGTTAATTTCGTTCCAAGATTGCCGCCAAACTGTAAGCGACACTGACATGCGGTTTTTCTGGATGATAGTTCTTGTTAGAATCTACTTCCTCACGTCGAGAATTTTTGGACTTCGTTCGCCGCATTGGACAAATATTTGAGCTCAAAGTATGGAATTTTGTCAATTTCGTTCCAAGATTGCCGCCAAACCATGAGTGGTACAGGCATGCGGTTTTATCCAGCCGATAGTTCTCACTGAAATCTACTTCCTCACGTCGAGATATTTTGTACATCGTTTGTCATTAGACCAATATTTAAACTCAAAGTATGCCATTTTCTTCCCTTTTTAAACACACGGAAAAAAAAGTTAGCTGCCACAGCTAATACAGTCAGCCAATATGGCCTTGGCTAATATTCTCATGATATATGGGTAAATGTTACCAGCTGCAGTAGCTAGTTAGTCTAGTGTCCGTCATAGCATAAGCCAATTAGCTCCCAGAGCTAATGTTCTCATAAGTACCAGAAAAGTGAGATTAGCTTCTACAGCTAACAAAGGTTGATGATGAATGACAACATAGAATCAGTAATGTTTCCGTATTATTGTAAACAGTGCACAATTTCATCAAGAATCATCAGTGCACTGGCTAAACACTTGTCAAAAATTAGGGACATCGGCGAAGGCGAACAGTGCCACCAAGCGCGCCCACATACCTCATGGACGACGCTTCCTGAGTATAACCGAACGAGCGTGGCGTTTCATCAGCGAGAGCTATGACGTCACCAAATTCAACATCCCTTGTCTTACTAGGCGAGAGTTTTAGCTAGCGATGATAAAACAAACAGCGATCAGTGCGAACAGAAACAGCAGCACTAGCCATCCTGCGAATTAGCTGTGGAAGCGAATAAAGTCACTCGGAGAGGCGCATAGTTTTCTGCGTCTGCGAAAGCTTCACGAGCACCGATAGGTATTGGACAGTTTGCAACGTTAGTGACAGAATCGACAATGACGGTGAAGAAAAGTTCACTGCCAGGGAAAAAGAGCGTTTGCAGCAAAGGCGAATCGTGTGTTAGCTCTTACAAGATATTGTTCGTGACCTTTCCGAGCGACTGAACTTGCTTCGGTCCACGCAAAACATTAGCTGCTAGAGCCAATTTTATTGCCTAAGGCCATACGAGCTAATGAATTAGCCGAGAGAGCTAATTTTTGGCTGAGACAGCCAATTATTTTTTTTCCGTGGCAGACCTGGGTAGCCTCCCAATTGACTAATTTGAAAAATCAAAACGTCAGGAAGTAAAGAAAGTTCAAAGAATGCTCTCGAATCAACCGCGTGTTGATTGGAAATTTAGTTAAGGGGAAATCATAGAACGAAAACGGCCGAAAATGGCCATCAAACCGCTCTACCCCGCGTTTTGGCACGGGCGGGCAAGGCGGGCAACGTTGGCGAGGCGGCCGGCTGTAACAGATTTCAGATAGGTGCACCGAGCGAGCGGAGGTGCATTGTATGAGTGACATTGTCTTCCCCCCGCCGCGAGCATCCTTCTCTCTCGCACTCGGGCGGGCGGCTAGCCGACGGGGCGGGGAGAGGAGGTCGAGCACGCTGGACGGTCTGTGAAACAATGGCGACGCGCTGGACAGCGCTTGACAGTTAAGGCGATACTCCTGCAGTCGGAATCCTAGTGCAACTCCGATTTGTCTCCCGCGCCCGAAGGAGTTGCCAGCTCCACTTCGCAACTCCGTTCGGCAGGGGCCGGGCCTGCTTGGCCTGCCGGCGGCGATGGTCGGGCCTTCGGCCCGACCATTTCAGTCTCGTGATTTACTGAAGTGCATCATTAAATAAATAATGTG